GAGAAAGAGGAAGAGAGAGAGGGGGAGAAAAAGAGGAGAAAAAGGCGCAAAATGGAAAGTGGAAGTATAATAACAGCACTTCGTAGACAATAATATTCGTTCTTAAGCAAGAGAAGTGCGAGCAAAGCTTGGAAAAGAGGCGCGGTGAACTAATCGCATTTGGCTGTCGTCTATCTCTATCATTTGATAAAGTGGAACTCGTCAATCCGAAGTTGCATTTCTTATCGTCTCTTTCAAAAAGGTTCACGGAAGTCGCGATCTCTGACAGTTCGAATGGAAATGATCTCTGTCTAATGAAACGAGCAGTCTTACGATTAGTGAAAGATTTCAGTACCGAATGTTTGCTAGATCTTCGCGATCGACAGTCGCCGAGAGATTGAAGCTAGAAGAATGATTAGCGTAAGCTAAGCGGAAAGCTACGCAAATTCTCGTCTCGCCTCGTGGAAATTATCGACAATTATGAGGGACAAGTTCACATTCAGCGTGAGTATCGTTTGCATGCTGTTGCAATCGATTCTTGTGTTTTTCAATGCGCCCGACGCGATTTGCGAGAAGAGTTGGAAAAAGAACGAACGGAAAACGTCCGGGGGGGGGGGGAAGGGGCTAATATTTGGTTTGTAACCGTCAACAATATGGAACAAAACGTATGCAGACGGCAGTATCACTCGAGACCGTAGGTCACAGAGAGATTGTAGCATATTCTCTCTTCTATTTATTGTTAAAGCCAATCATGTCGTTTTGCTCACGTCGCGTGAGTTCGCTGAATTTACTCTCACCGTTCTCCATTTGCTATTTATTTTGCATATCGTAAGGCTGGGAGAGAGCGTTGGCGTATATTGAAAACGAAGCGCAATATGCAATGTGTATTATTTATATCCCAGATGATAGAGATAAATCCTCGCTGATGTAATTTACAGTCGGGGGTGCCGGACATGCACGAGACCCTGTCTAGCTTCCCGGAACAGTTTGGGGATGGCCCGAGAAAACCGGAAATAAAGCCGGAAATTCTGAAGGAGACGGATAGAACCGCGGACAATCTGAAATGCGGTTGGTTCTGGTTCAGGCCAATTTACTTGCAGAAATTTCGCACTGCGAAATGGGCGCTTTTCTGGCTATGCTGGGCTGGCGCGATGCAAGGTACGTGTAGTTTGATTACTTTTTCGTACGGCGATTCGCCCGGTGTGAACCTTATCGCGAAAATTTGCCGGTGAGCCTATTAGCGTTGCCTGCAAAACGAAATATCCAGTGACAATGCTACGAAGACACTAGTACGAGTATGTTAGAATGGTGCAGAAAATTAATCGTTTTTTTGCAAAATGTATTAAATGAAAATTCTAAAGTTCTTGAAAAAGTCACTTTCAAACGAATGAGAGAATATCTTTAATTGGAAAAAATAGTGTGACCAGTGCTGTCAGTGGCGACAAGATTCGCTTTGATTTTACAGCAATTCCGTTTAAACTTTATTTGGCAATGAATACGAGACGTCAAATGTACGAGGCAATAGACCTCAGAGCCGAAACCCTTTGCGTCAATCTAATATTTCTCAGTTCCTCCTTTTGAGCTTGTCATTAGCGTTGGTGCGTGAAGCGTTAACTTTCTTTCGATCGTCCGGGATTAGACGCGAGTGTCAGGGACGCGAGTATTTTCAGACCGACTTTCCCATCGCCTCGCACGCCGTTATTTATAAAAAGCGGTCGTGCGAGACGCATCTTTGCAGACGTAATTTTTTGATAGCGTTGCGACACAATGTTAACGCACGGGCAACGCTAATAGACGTACGTTTGAATTCGCAATTTCGATGCCTCTCCGTGAGAATAAGTGCGGTGGTGGCGATGATTGACGACAATGAGGAAATTGTCCGACCGATGTCCACAGTTTACAAGAATAACGGAAGAAGGAATAATACGATGGGGGGAAGAGAGCCTAAAAATCCAATCGCGTTGGTAAACGCGTAAATTTGCCGATACATGAAATTACTCTTGATAAAACTTTCAACGAAACGAGTGCTTTCTCTCGCCAGACGTGATTCTTTAGGATTAAAGTATGTCTATTAGATGCATCCTAAGGGAGCCGTTTACTCGGCGTTCCTGTAATGTGAGAGAAGCTAAGAAGACCAACGCTCGCGTGCGTTGTAATACCATGGAATTTCGAGTAGCGCGCAAATACACATGACGACGTCGCGGTACGTTTACCGGAGAGTCGTTTGTAATAATTCGTTATTGAAATTTGTGGGCGGTCGCGAAATTATTCTTCAATCGTAACGTAAACTGCCGCGGGTTGCGAGCAGCAAATGTCGTAAAGCTGGCTCGAATAGCTCGCGAATGGAGCCCATCGATGATGCACGCACGCACACACACGTGTCCTCGTTGTTCCAGGAATGGTCGTGAATGGTTTTGTAAATGTCGTCATAACGACGATAGAGAGGAGATTCGGATTAAAATCGTCGGAGACCGGCTTGATAGCGGGTGGATACGACATAGCTAGCTTCCTTCTTCTCGTACCAGTGAGCTATCTCGGTGGCCGCGCGAAAGCATCGAAACCAAGGTACGCAGCGTGTACGTCGTCGCGCCATTATCTCACGCATTAATATTAATACCGATATCGTTTCTGCACGACGACTCTCATAAATATTAATCCTAACGTCAGTCCGTCCGACACTGTCGGACGTTAATCCCCATCCCGTTTCTTTGCTACGACAACGCCTCGGGACCCTCGTCCGCGTAATCGACAATCGATAGCCCTTCCGGAGATCTTGGACCTCGTCGCGCAGAGACAGCGAGCGGGTCGATGACGATCGTTTCTTTAAAATTACTTTATCCGACTAAAAGAAAAGAAAAATAGAAACCCAGTCAGAAAAATGTTAGTAGATTGGCAGCAGATTTATCAGAAGCCCACACCAAAACCATTTGCGTCCGCAATTGGCTTTTGTTTTAGCAACAGAGTCTGTAAAACGTACGCTATCAGCAGATTGTCGGCAGAAATTGAACAGGTCCAGTTATGTGAGCAGATTTTGTTATATTTCTGCTGACACGCTGGCAACATGTCGAATATATCAGTTCCTGCGTGCAATCTGCAGTCTTTCTGTCTTCAAAATTTGTAGCGGGCATTTGACGAAATCTGTTCTGGCAGATTTTGCCATCTGGGAAGATAACGAGTCAGCATTCCCTGTCGAACAATGATTCATCTCACTTTTTGTTCGGGTTAACTTTGAAAGTACGGTCTAGAATTATTCGCGAGCCTCAAATCTACCCTGTTTCAACCGGATATTCTGGGCTGTCGCAGGTATATCGGCATAGGAGTTCTAGTCTTAGGTATAGGTAGCCTGCTGTTTGCGTCTCCGCATTATCTTGCCGGACCATATAGAGGGGGTCAGCAAACGGAGAACATATGCCAAAGTGTCAATATATCGAGCCATTCGGTAAGTGAGCAAATTCAATTATTTACAGGACGTATTTAAGTTCCTCATTTACAAATCTGGTTCGCTTTATCACAACGTGACAAGTTTAATCGAGGCGACGGGGCAGGTCGCGTAACACCTTTCGACAATACACGGTCGTGTTACGTTGGACCACACGTTGAATTCCCCCCGCGTTCGATCCTAAAGCGAAAATCTGCACGACAAACGATAACAAACACAAATGCGTAAATTAAATGCGTGCGTGAACCAATCGAAACTTGTTTGTAATACCGTGCTTTTCTCGATTCCCACTTCTATTTATGTAGTTTGCCTAGTGAACCCGGGCGACGCCAGATTTATCATTATTTCGGCCACTCAGATATCCTGCACGGATCAATCTGCCGTTCAAGCGGAGCTAGAGCCTTACAGTGGCGTGTACTTAACCATATTTCTGGTAGCTCAGCTGTTACATGGCGCCGGCGCGGCACCCTTTTATACGCTCGGAGTTACGTATTTAGATGAAAATGTTTCGAAGAAGATGTCCTCGGTGTATCTAGGTGAGACGCGCACAAGCGGCGCAAGTACATCCCGGATGGCACGGGGGGAATCCGGAAAGAATTCTTTTTCTATACTCACTTCTGTCTTAGCTACATTTTTAAACGTTCAAGAAGAACTTGCCTTTGTGACACTAATTCTGTCTTTTTCGGACCCGAGATTTGTTTTATACTTTACCGGCGGTATTTATAGTTTGTTCTTATTTCAAGGCTGTCTTAAGTAATAATTGCTCCGCGATTGGTTTATAACATCGTAAGATTATACTTAAGGGGTCATTTTAACGGCCTAAAAACTATGCTTATCTTTAACAATTTGTTTCACAGTAAATACACCATAAATCTTTTTTGCGATTTTTTAAGGCACTCTTAAATAACATAAAAATTAAGCGTTTTCTACACCGTTTGAATGGCGTGTCAAAAAAGATGCAAGTCCGCTGCGTTGATGACTTTTATCATTCAGGCTTGCCGGAAACAAAAATCAAGAAGATTCCTAATCTATATATGAATGTCGCTATGTCTCGAACCTCAATTAAGAATTTGTATTTAAAAATAACAAAATGGTGCCAGTTTGAAAAAAAGTTGTGGAAAGTACTTTTTAAAACTTTTTTTAAACTGGCACCATTTTGTTATTTTCGAAAAGATTTATTTCAGTGTTTACTGTGAAACAAATTGTTAAAGATAAGCATAGTTTTTGGGCCGTCAAAGTGGCGATTTTAAATATAAGAATGATCTATGAATACCGTCTTACAAGAATAATTCTTTTTGAAAGGAATTCTATTTTGCGTTCATCTTGAACAGATTGATTCAGAGAAGCTTAAAAAGCGAATCCTTTGCGAGTTTATGACAATTACCTGTGCTATTCGGGATACTTCAACATTTGTACGTCAACATTTTTTCGATCGATTTTAATAAAACGTAATCCGTGTGCGTCAGGTGTTTACTATACTATGGCCATAATAGGACCAGCACTAGGCTACGTTGTCGGCGGCGAGCTACTGAAAATTTACACAGACTTTCTCACGGTGGACTCTTCTACGTAAGTATTTGAATATTTAAATAGATCGATATACGCGCGCGCGGGCGCTATCTCATGTCATTTAAAAAGGAATATATCAGATATCTTCATTTCCACGAGAAGAGAGTGAAACGAGGGAGCATAAGGGATATTTTATTTTCGCAATGCGTAGTGCGGAATGTAGTCGAACGAAGACAGGGGTAAACCGTGTAACGGCCGTGCCGGATCGGAATTCGTCTCTTCCCGTTGTCACGCTAAACGCATTTTCCACCTTTTTTCCCCCTGATAACACGCGGGAACGTTTAGTCGCGCGTCAGCGGCAACTTTATTAAATTCTCGCGACGATTTATCGGTCGTTCGCGTCTATCTCTCCGACGGAATACACGAATGTGTTCGGCACGGACACGATAACGCGCGTGTCGACGCGCGGTTTCGAACGGAATAACTCACCGATCTGATGGTATGCAAATGCGCATATTCGTCATTTTGCCACTGGTGTCCGAACGACTGCTGGTCGTTTGTAGGAAATTCGATGTCGACAGCAAAACGACCTCTTGATAATACATGAAGCGTCGATTAAATGGCGCGCGCGCGCACAAATGATTGCGCCGATTAGCTAATTTTCAAGAGTAATTATCAAACGACGGCTCCGATACACCGCCGTACGCACGATACTCTCGAAAAAGGCGTGCATTTGTCCGAGAGGCATGAAAACGCAGAGAGACACACGCTTCTCTGCTGCACCGCCGCCGTTAAAAATATTCCGCAGGATCATTAGGGCATATAATGGACCGAGATTAATAGTGCGTGTAACTCCACTGATATACAATATAATCCCGTGGGGAAAATGTCAAGTGGCGAACCAATGTTTGACGATGACGCCGATATTGCCCTTAAAAATTGTTGGCTCATCCCCCAGCACTTAGGACACAATCAAGTTCCATTTGTCTACGCGTCTCCCGGTGGACTCTCCCCAACTACACGCACCCCTTCATCGACCGTTGAGTCATTCTGTACCGCGCGTGAATCAAATTAATCGCTGGCCGAAGAGACAATTTTTTTTTTTCATATCTTTTCAAACACAAACACACGCGCGCACACAAGTACACTTCGAAATCTTATTTGCGCGAAGTAGGAGTAAATAAAATGGAGATAAATCGCTACGCATCTCTACAATGGCAGTCCTGCGGTCGCAATTACATCTTCTCTCTTGTACGAGAAACGAGATTTCTCAAGAAAAAAAGACAAAAATAAGGCGAAATTATTCGCGTAATAGGTACGGCTCTCCTGCTATCGCTGCACGTGAGAGCCGTTCGTGCATGCGCCGCGTTTAATTTCGCAGGTAAATGAAAAGTTTCGCCGGAGATGCAGCAGCAGTAGCAGCGCCGGATGCAGGCTGGCCTCAAGCTGCTTGAAACGAATGACTTCTCTACGTGCACCTTTCCGCTTTCTCACTTTCAAGCTCCTGCGATAAGTTACATTACAGCTACGCTCGCGTGCCGTTTCTTCAGTAATGGATTTCGAGCGTTGCACAAATTATTCCTTTCCTCGGATCAAGTATCGATTCTTTCGTATCGCGCGCCTATTTCTTCCGAATTTATCACTTTTATTACCTTTTAGGAAATTAGCATTTGCTATTAATATATTTCCATAATTTTACTGGCTCGAGTGGGACGCCTGACAAACATTCGTAATTAATATTTATCAAAATATTCAACGGCAATCTTTTATGTTACTGATATTAATATTTATGCGGCTAACGCGATTCGCGTAAGCTTCGATTTTACGAAGTATGTCATTCTATATAAATTATATTCAACGAATACTTTTCTACTCTCTTCTGCGAAAAAGGTACTTTACTTTTATCCTATTTTTATTTTAATTAATCGATTATACGTTGCGCGCGCGCGCGCGCGTCTTTGCTATATATCGAGCTTTGGCAAAATTATTTTCAGTTAAATGATCGTTCTGTGTCATCCATATCTACACAAAGGAACGTTCGCTGCATCTTACACTGAAACTTAATCAAGGAAGTTAGTTTATTAAAGCTTTGTCAGTCGAGAATTTCTGCTCGCGCGAAATTAGAATAGTCAAATCGTTGTCAGATGAGAAGTCAAATGAGACTATGTCGATCGTAAATGCGCCCGATATAATCTTTTAGATGCACATCTTTCTCCGGCGGAGAAAAATCGGTCAGATATATTTTTTTCAATTCATTCAATCGAGATAAAAATGAGTGGATTTAATCGGCGTTCTAGTTTCGTTCTTGCGTACTTACATCCATTACCGTTAAAAGGGAACTCAAAATAGAGTATCGAAATCCCGAGATCTATATAGAATGAATGCTAAATATATTTCCAAAGGCAAGACTTGCCAATATGTGTTTCATCGAATCTATCGCATCCTAAAACCATTGAATTTTAGGATTGGGTTAACTTCTGATAGTAATGTCTGGGTTGGTGCATGGTGGATCGGTTTTTTGGCAGCGGCTGTCATATGCTTCGTCATCGCGATACCGGTTTTGGCATTCCCGGCAGTTTTACCCGGTACGATCATTTTTGTCCTACGCTCTTTTTATTAGATAAAGTAATAATGAAATAAACCTGGAGGTATCAGGTGGCTATTCAGTAAGCATATAAAAAAATCCGAACTCTGTAAAAAGATGAACGGTTTTGAATAGGATCGGAGGAATTAGCCAAGGACAGGGTGTCAGAAGCGCACGAGAAATCGACTCGATCCTCCACTGCCGCGACCGGGGAAGCGTTTTCCAAGATACGAGAGCTGCCACGCGCTTTGACCGAGTTACTTGGAAATCCGGCATTTTTTATGCTGAACCTGGCAGGTGCCAGTGAAGGGTTGCTGATTGCCGGATTCGCTGCTTTCCTACCCAAACTGATTGAAAATCAATTCAGCGTCAGTGCCAGTTCGGCCGCGTTGCTGATGGGTGAATAATATCACAATTCAATTAATCTATCGTAATACAGGTAGCGTTTCATATAAGCGCGGATCGTTATGTGGAATCATTTTCATAAAGCTCTGAAAATGATTCGGCATTGGAGAAGGCGGCCGGAACATAACAAGGAGATTTTTAACAAATGTCAGCCGATGACGTGTTAATTAATTACCGCCACGGTTTTATTACAAAATAACGTTTTCAGGATTGGTGACCGTACCGGCGGGAGGCGGCGGTACGTTTCTCGGTGGCTATTTGATAAAACGTTTCAACTTGCCCTGCTCCGGCATTTTGAAATTTTGTTTACTGGCCACAACCGCCTGCATCGCTTTCACGCTGTGTTTCGCTCTGAACTGCCCGAACTTAGATTTCGCCGGATTGACTGTACCGTATCAAAATATTACGAAGTTTGTACAGTCGATAGATTTATCTTGGTGGATTAAGCGCGTTACAAAAGTTCGATCGCGATTACTGATTATACAAAACTGTGTTGCAGAAAGATCGCGTTATCTCTCGAAAACACCTGCAACAATGGCTGCGGATGCTCCAGGTCGCAATTCGACCCTGTATGCGGCGTGGATGGAATCACGTACTACTCGCCCTGTCATGCCGGATGTAACCGGGCAACGCCGATGAACAACGTCAAAGTATAACTGTGTTTCCCGATGTAATTCTGGAATGGCGTTTTTACGCGGCAGATTAATGCTGTGACGTTTCTTCTTTCAGATATACGCGGATTGCAGCTGTATACACGCGCCGGCGATGAATTTGACAAGCGACAATACCGGCGGCAGTGTCCAGTACGAAGCTATCAATACCACCTGCGCGAGTTCGTGCTCGTACCTATGGGTGTTTATTGTCCTGGCATTTTGCAATATGTTCATGACCTTCCTTTGTACAATGCCGGCGCTTTCGTCGACATTGAGGGTCGTGCGCGACGATCAGCGATCGTTCGCTCTAGGTATACAGTGGATCAAAGTTCGGATTTTGGGAACGATACCGGCACCTATGGTGTTCGGCGCTCTTATAGATGACACATGCATCTTGTGGAACGAAACCTGCGATGGCAGAGGAGCTTGCCTCGTATATGACAATTATTACATGAGCAGGTTGGCAAATTATCGCGAACAGCAGCTTAGGCCCAAGTACTTCACATGTGACCTTGAGCATATTTTTTACAGATATATGCTCGCCCTGGCATTTATCGGGAAAGCGGCCTCGCTGCTTTTCTTCTTCCTAGCATGGTGGACGTACGTTCCACCGAGCACCGGAGGCATCGACCAGAATTCTCGGCAGCAAACGACAGCTACTTTAATGCTGAGTGACACGTCACAAGAAGTTGAAATAGTACCAACTACGATAGCGTAATCTTTACCTAAAAAGGTAAAAAAAACTGTTTCGTTTCTTCTTTTTTTTTTTAGAAAGTTATTCTCTTAGAACTGCTATTTTATAGAAACGGTAGAAATAACCGCGATTTATATACAGATAGACAAATGTCCCGACATTTTTTTCGCGGTGAAATCCACAAAACTCCGAAAACTAGAAGGGTTCAAGTTATAATGAGAATATCGTCGCAAATACATAAACAGATATCAAGCTAGAGTAAATATGTATATGTCAAGTGTGAAGAAAAACTATCATGGAAATCCTTTTTGCACGCTAGAGAGTTAAGTTTTTGATAGCCCTATAATCGAACGTAGTTCGGAAGCTATAAGTAAGAAGTCAATCAAGGGATGTTAAAACATATCCAGGTAGTCGTGCCAAAGAGCCTACAACACCGAAAGTTTCTAGGTTTTCTTGCGACCCTTTATACAATGGACAAGCCTCAGCGCGATAAATCTATATAGTAAGCACGAGCCAAAATATCCAGTTTGCGCAACTCCAACTTCCGAGCACTAACGTAAATTTTTATAGCCCTACATTCGCTGACTGTCAATTAAAGGTTAATCAATTGTATTTCCTATAATGATAAATATTGATAGTACTTTATACCCAGAGATGTGACTTACATAAATTTCGAAGATGGTTTTACCACCCAGATAGCGCAAGACACTCCTATGAACATTTTAAGAATATTCTTCAAGAATATTTGGAATATTCCATAGGTCATTCTTACATATTTATCTTATGTTCGTAGAATATTCGACTGGCACTACTATAAATACTTTTCGAATGTGAATAGAATAATCTATCGAATGTAGCGTGTCGGTTATATATGAGGCTTGTTTCCTGCTGCTACACTGGTGAGCTAGTGCAATAAATTTGAGTAAGACAAATATATTTTTCTCATTCTAGCTTACTGCACTGGTTCATCAGTGCAGGAACAGAAAACAAACCTATGGTATGATCACAGGTGCCACTGCCTTTTGCATAAGAAAATGTATTACACAGTAAACAATGTGCAATACATAAACTCGATAAATATTCTAAAGACGTTCTCCTTTGTTACGAATATATGATTTCTAATTGTAATAATCTATATATATTTATAGAATATTCGATTGGAATATTCTGAAATTAAGAATATTTGCACCCCAGAAGACTATTCATAGAACTATGTGTGCTATCTGGGCATGTATCAACCTTGGTGGTTGTCGTATACTGTATTACCGATTTGATATTACACTTTCTACGCCGTTTTTCGCTGTAATTATTTTTATTAAACGAAAAACGCCCAGTATGCCTAGAGCACGTATTTATACTTGTCATCAATAAAAAAAAAAACTAATTAGGTATATTACCCTTAAATCTTTATCTCTTCGAATATGAGATTTCTCCCAGTTTCCTTCTATACGGAATATATTCCTGAAGGCAAACCTCATAAATCTGTTTAAAAATTACGAAATATTATTAAAGCACTTATATTAAAACCACATATTTTAAAAATATGTTAATTATTATTTTAATATATCTTCTGCGCTCTTTTGTAAATAAAATAAATGTTAATCGTTGATAACGATTGATAAATCAGGAAACGTACTTGACAAATGTTGCTCGATACTTTCATGCAGTTGTCGATAAAGTTGTGAACGATATGCTCTCGGAGAGCTATCAATACCTCCCTGAATATTATTCTGCCTGAACTTTAAACTTACGTCTGCCAAGATAAATATATTATACATGAACATATATACGTACACACATACATTTACACTTACTCACGTAGCATATGATTACCCAGCAAACGCCGAGGATCAATTACATTATATCTGCACTGATGCTCGGTGTTCACTGGGTATTTATATTTAAGAGGATCCTAAAGTCATCGGTTTTATCGACACATTCGAATAAAGTTTTTGCGCTGGTAAACCTTTTTATTAGCTTTTATGCACGAAATAATGCCAGGATAAGTTGCGGACAGCAGAACATTTTCATACTTAAAACACTCAGGTCAGAAGTCTAATGAAAAAGATATTGGTATTTGAAATTTTCCATTTTTTCATCGTGAGCAATTTGAAATTGGCTTTATAAAATTACAAAATTCTTCCACACGATTATAGTACGCATAAAAACTCAGCGGGAGGGTCTACGGCTTTATATAAAGAACGAAGAGCAATTTTGCTTTTCGTTTCGAGGCGTTACCCTCAATTCTCCATCTCCCGAGATTGCGTAAGGTTCACTTCTCAGATAATAAAGATTAAGTTCCGTTACTTAAACCTCTGCTTAAACTAAAGGATCGACGAAGCGCACTTTTCACAGACGGTGTCAATAGCGACCTATCGAGTCGTTGACCTACATCTGAAAAATTGCACAGTAAGTGCGGTGCCTTAGAATCATTAAGGGTATCTGTACCGTTTTTTCGTGGGCCATTTTACCTTGTCTTTCTAAAAAAAAAATTATTTTTCAAAGTTTGGACGTAACACTCCGGACTAGTACCAGATTTGGTTTGACGCCAGCTGATGTGTGAATTTTTAATCAAAATCGTACAAGTACCTATTCTATTTTCCATCATGAGTTGTCTGCTTTTGACAGTGTTTCTTATTCACACTCTTATGAAATAAATAACCGAACTAGCTTAATTTATCGCACAATATTTTGAAATATAAAGACTGGATGCTGATGCTTAACATCAGATTGAATTTACAGTTCGAGATAAGTATGTCACAGTATAAAGTTACAGAATCTATCGACGTTCACCGCAATACCTTTCACGCAGGATGATCGCTTTACTTGTCGATCTGCAACGCGAGTAGATCGTGTACGCGTCCATTCGCATTGGGAACAATAGATGATAAAGATAGGATGCGTTAAGTGTGCCAGGTATATTGCCAGGAAAGGCAAAGAGAGGGAAGTTAAGGACGGGAGGAGGGAGAGAACAGCTTCGGAGACTCATCCTCGAGTTACTTTCACTTGAACTTCTTGTAACGCCGTGTAGTGATCTGCTCGACGGTGTGGGAGCGGAGCTCCCGTTGCTTTCCGCGTAATTCGAACTCGCGTAATCCTTTCGTAAGACCCTTGAATTTTTATTTAAAAAACCATGGCGTTACGCTGGATCCTACAGTCATATCTTCTGCGATGCGCGCTATTCGTCGTCGTTGCCCACGCCGAAGAAGTTTTCGTAAGTAACGAGAACTTGGAACGTTAATGCATTAGATCGGATTAACTGTTGTACGCTGATGACGTCAAGAACGAGGAATTGCTTGTACTTACATAAGTTGGCAGATACGTTAAGTTATCTCGATTTTGAACAAATACGAATAAACGACCTTAAGCTGTACGATTCAATCGCGATTATCCGCCCACGCAGAATACCACTCCGCCAACCGTCAGAACGAGCTTCTCCTGCCTGAACCGGCCTATGGGATTTTATGCCGACGTCGAGGCGAACTGCAGAGTATATCACATGTGCGACGATCACGGGAATAAATTCAGTTACCGATGCCCCGAGGAAACGGCTTTTCGTCAAGATGCCCTGATATGCGATCACGCTCATCTTGTCGATTGCCAGGCGACTATTCACCCGTCGACTCAATTTCCAGACGAGAACGTCGACGAGGAAATTGTGCGCGCGGCTGCCTCGACGAGGTCCCCGGTAGAATCGATCAACTCGCTTGATGACGATCGACTGTCGTTTTCGCGTTCCTTCCAAGTGATTCAACGGCCTGACAAGTCCATGCCTAATAAACTCCAATCTGGCTTCGTCTTCCGCGCGAGTTTATTCTTAAGGAATCAGGATCGGAGTCAACCTAGGCAAATCACCTGTGCGACATGCGGCGCCGATTCGAGGACAGCTTCCACTGCTCGGGCGCTTACTGGACAGATTAATTCTTGGAATCCACCGGAAGACAAATCGACCGCGCCAAGACAGTCGTCCTTATCATCGACGGAGATCCGTGACAAAAATACCGTATATTTGAGTCGCTCGCGCGAGCCGTTCTCGAATCCTTCGCCCGCGAGAGCGATAGCGTCGGAGGATAACCGGCATTCACCTCCTCTGCGTGAGAAATCCCCCTCGTCGAGTTACAACAGTGATTTCCATCCGTACTCGGAGACTCTACGATCGATTCAAGCCAACGCTCACGCGACTTACGCAAAATCCACCACGGAGATTCCTGTGCACGCTTTGACGCTCTCCTTGAAGCCGCTGGTACCGAACGAGCTGGAGTACGATCCATACTATCCCAAACAACCGACGTCCACCGAGGCATATTACACGCCCAGCCATCGCAACAGAGTCGACACGAATGTTCGGTTCTCCAGCTCCAGCCAAGCGCCTCTGATAGTCGCGCAGTCCAATCTTTCCTTTGAAATACCATCCGTACTGCCTGATCTGAACACGCTGGAGGATCTCATCGATCGCCGGAAGTTCTTCTATATTCCGCGCGCAAACGTGAAATCGATATGACGCGCCATTAACTCTTTTTAACCGTCGTATTTGCGACGGAAATTTCAAGTATATTTCATTTTGCAACGTTGCAAAATTAAGTATGCACTGGTACGTTCGTTGTATCCATACTGGCGTGTATATTGTTTGCGATTTATCTAAAAATATTTTAATAAACATTGAGTACCACGTGACCCGGTGGCTTCAAGGGAGCCTGCACTCTTGGAGCGGATGACACACGGGTCGTTATTGTACTGGAGAAAATATAGTAACGTTGATTTTAACTTTACGTGAGAAACTTAACGATAGCGCGATTATATTCATTGACGTCGCATCTAAAATACTTGTCTCTCGGAGTCCAGTGGTTTGAAAAGATTGCTAACAGTCTCGCGGCGATCTGCTGAATACTCGTATTTATCGAGCCTCGAAACATCTCGGTTAATGTGGCTATTATTCCATGTTCATTGTGATATTTTGCTCGTAAGCGATTGACCGTTGTCGTGAGTCCTGAAAATAACTGTCTATAGTGCACGTTCCGCGATACGTTTGAATCAAAAGCTAGAGAAAATCAACTGTGTGCCCCAAATGTAATTTCTCACCGGAGTATGTGTCTCTGATCGGTAGGAATTGCTGCAAACCATTTATGTCTTCGGACAAACAGCGACATTTCTCTGCGAGGCAACGAATATATTCGTTTTCTCGTTTAAAAAATTGAATATTTTTATGCAACTCTTCAATTTGCATTTGTAGCCGCAGTTGCACGGTTTCCTCTATCCAATACTTGACATTTACATCTTTTTCCAATTTCTGCGTTTTACTTTTTTGGACCTTTACTGTGTCGTCATGTACCTTTGTATGTATCATCCCTCTTGAATCCAATTGAAAACCTAATTCTTCGAACTCACTGGAAAATGCATGGAATATAATTTTATTTCACAGTCGCATTCTCATTCGTTTTTGGAGAAATATTTTGAAGTAAATTATTGTAATTTATGTGCTATTTAATCTTTTATGTTGTAGTTTTGCAGCATAAACAGTTTGAGTACTCTCTAAAGTTTTTTAGAGTGAAAATAGAACCATGGAGTCAAATACTCGCTCTATTGGAGTAAATATTTATTCTAATAGAGTAAAGATTTGCTCCAATAGAGTGAACATGGTTCTATTTTCACTCCAAAAACTTTAGAGAGTAATTGGCCATATATCTAAGAATTTAAAATTCTTTTAAACAGAGACGAGAGTAAGATCAATTGAATAAGAACTTATTAATATAAATAATACCTATTGATGCCTAATGTAATACTATTCTAAAAAGTATAAACAACTGTATTATATTATTTTCTGATAGAATTTACAAATACAAATTGTAAATTCAATAATTTTATATGATAATTGTAGGGATAAAATAAAAAAAAACAGGTGATATTTAATGTACTTAAAAATAATAGGGACCCAAGGAGCAAACGTTATGCTTTAAATTATACAAAAATTATACTTATATAACATACGTTTTGATAAGTTTATCTTTCAATGTAGGCATTGGACTGATAGAAACTTCGCTTTCGGCTTCATCTCTCACAAGCAATCCACACGCACACGGACAGAGCTGAAAATAATACCATACAAATAATTATAGACTCTCATTTTTCTGTTCATTATGTTATAATTAAGCTAATTGAATATACGGTTATAGAATTACAGAATATACAAGTTGTATATACAATTTGATAACTTAATTATTTCTCTTATTCAATAGGGGATTTTTTCATTGATTTCAAATAAATTTTGCCTTTACGAAGACTTTAAAGTGTCAACTTGCGATTCGATATAAAGAACTTACTACTTCCTGAGTAAGCGTCGATGCATCTTGCATCGAAGAAATAGTAGACGATATATTGACGATACATTGATGTGACGGGCCATTGGTCTTGTGTTTTTTAGCTATTTTACATATAAAACAGTCATCGCTTACGCAGTCTTTGATATCTATTGTCTAATCTAATTCATTTTTGTAACATGCAGAATCGGTAGAAAGTCTTTTAAGAGGTAAATTGTTTCTTTACTCACTAATATATCTCTGCATTTGACTTGCACTGTCATATTTTTTGTTAGGCTCATCTTGACATATTTGATACGTGATTCCATCGGAAGGTATTCGTCGTACAAACAACAACTTCGATTTTAATCCGTTCTCACTCGTGCCAGTTGATTGAATTTTAGAAGAGATTTTTTCTTGTTTCGTTCGACGAACGTTTCGCTCGTCGATCTTATCATTTTCTTTGGGAAGAATCGATTCGAATACACTTCCAGGAATAAGAAAGCTATTGCTACTTTTACCCTTTTCAACAGGCGAAGAAACTTTATGTGCCATCTTCAAGAACATATTATCAAGATATTTCGATAAGAAATTGTCGTAATCATCATTTCTTTTTTTATCGACCACGAATTGTCTTGATTTCTTTGAAGAATCCTCCAGAGGAAGCGCGACGCCACAAAGCGCACAAACCGAGGAAGATGTGCTCGCGATTAATCCAGATCCAGGGCTATGTGACTAATAGAAATTACTTGGCGCTATTTAATCTTCAATCTCTTCTGACCATTCTTTGTTCTATCGTGATAGAACAATTGATAATATATTCAAAAATAAAAGTTTCACTACTTGTTCACTCCTCTCGTATCGTGATGATTCACGATGACGCATTCGAGGATCTGCATTTCTCCTTCGTCGCACTTCTATGTCGCTCGAGATTAATTGGGTCAATCTTAGCGCAGCTTCCTTGATCGCTTGCAATAAATCGTGGAGTGTTGTAATCTGTTAGCAATTTGTTATTTCCATCTAATGTAGATTCAAGTAAACTTATGGATGTGCACGTACACGTGTACATTGGATAAATCGAGTGCAATAATTGTTTAAATTAAAATTTAATACTTATTGTCCAAATGATCATTAACGCTTCTTTATATCATTTTTGTATAAGATCCTAAATGGTTTGGTCCACGTACGATAGATCAAATTCTTTTTGACTTATTTGTTGCATCAAATAGATTAATAAATAAAGTAAATTATATACTTTGCGACACAGAAAGTGAAAAACTCATACACATCTGATTTATAAGTTCGTAATATTTCAAGAAATCGTCATCTCTTTAATAACAATAATTGCTAAACTAATGTTTAATCAGCTTTGCGTTTTTCTTTCTTACAACAATATAGACAAATTAAGTCTAAAAAAAGTTGTTTCGAAATATCTTAAAGTTTAAAAATTAGAAGTTTTCTTAACAGAATGTGTTGATATTGCATTGCACTTTCGAGAATATATTGGAGAATGTTATCTACTTGCTGATCGTGATCGCTATCGAGCATGGGCGGACAGTAAGGCCCTCTTGACTCCCTGCAGAAGCGATACGCAGGACAAAGGGGCATTTCGGATCGCGGATGCGCGGTGCCAGACGAAGAATCACGACTCATCGGCACAACACTTTGCTTCGATGAAATCGCGACGGCGAGAGGACGAAGTCTTGCAACATCTTTCGCATCGCCTATCGCTTCCATCGTGTTTAATTTAAAGAAAACAAACTCGGCCTAATCTCTGAAGTAATACCGACGGCAACGCGGAGTGGCGGCTAACAGCGACTCCCGATAATATTGGGCCATTTCTACTTTATATCTCCATGTTACTTGTCACTTCATTATCTTGTACCGTCATGTCTGCTCTTGATGTCATTCCGACGCCAACGCGTCTCAAAAGTCGAAGATTGGAGATTTTTTTAGCCTCGATCTTAATAGGAGACACATTCACGATGGTAATACGCACACACAATCGGGTGTTTGTCTAGTGTCAACCAAATGTCAGCTTGTCAAAATTTTTTGTGAACGATGGCTGATTTCTCGAGGACGACAATAGTCGACGCCTCAAATGACAGTGTAGGCGGATCCGCGAGTGAAATCAATACTAGTAAGATGAGCTATTGGAGGCAAATGCTGATGAGCTACGAGAGGAGAAACGCATCGTTGGAGAGGAGGCGTAGCGCACTCGTCGAGAGAGTTCGTTTTATGGAATGTACATTGCCGTCTTTGCTGATGAGCGTCGCTGCGTCTACCGCCTACGGCAAACGAGGGGATAAACAGGCGAAAAGCCCTGAGCACACGCCTAACTCCACCGCTCCAAAGGTGTAGCGTAGCCACGGAATGTATTACAAGTAACAGCACTCAGGTGGTCTTACCGAAAACAGAGTTTGCAAGGTGTATGCTCTAATCTACATCTTTTGTCGGTAGAAATATAACAGAATCCGATGGCAAATAACAAAGCGTGATAGAAAATTGATTGCGGAAACCGAGCAGAATCTGCCATTTCGTAACCATTAGGATGACATGTTTTATTTGATTAAAATCCGGTTTCACCAAACGTCGCTTAACTTTGATCTTAGTTTAATTCATGTTCGTCTCTTTAGAGTAACAGCTGGGAGGCGACAAAGAACGAACTAATTGTAAGCCAAGCTTAAAGTTAAGCGACGTTGGTGAAACCGGACTAGTAGAAATAAGGTTTCGGTTAAAATAATAAGAAAATGGAGAACAGGTAGACAATTTTATTCGTTTCTCGTAGATACACACGCAGATACAACGAATAAAATCAATTCTATGTATGAAACGAACCTGTGAGGCGAGGAGCCATAAAGCTGTCAGACAGGCGTGATTGAATTGTCTCGAAAGTTCATACAGCATAAATACGATAAGCGCTTGGATATACACACTTCTTGTAAAAGATACTAAATCTACCAAATCACTCGAAGTCAATATTCGTGCTAAGGCACGCTGTGTTCAACGATCGAACGAAAAGTAGGACTAGAAACACATTGTTTACATTCTAATACACATATCAATGAATATTAAATGCTGAAGCATACGTACGCGAGAGTACACGTATATATTTTTCAGATATAAAGAGACACACGCAAGCCTAGCTTAGTTTCAATAAGATTCATGAAATTATTCTACAGCGAAGGTAGCGATTATTTCGGATTAATTCAGTATACAATCCTATTATGTACCTTATATCGCGCAAAATCAATGTGCAAAGGTTTAAAGAGAAAAACTAAGAAGAATATATCGGAGAAAAGTGAATCGATCCGTCTAGGAATTTATATATTCCCTACGATACGTGTATATTACTTTCCTACAATTACTCTCTCTCTCTAACGATTCTTCATGCAGTGTATAATGACGGAAATATAACAATATCTCCAATAATCGTTGATGTAGATACTACAGAATCTTTGTTCTCAGCGTGAATGGCACCGCACGGACGTGCCTTTGTGCATCGCTCAATGCATCACGGATCGCGCGATAATTTGCGACGCACACGCGACGTGTGTCGTCTCAAATGAATTTACGCACGCGCAATTTTTCTCTCGTCGTATCAAATTTAAATGTACGTCGAAACGTAGATTTGAATTTCGATAAGACACACTAAGAATTCAGAGATATATCTGATACGTCGCTTGATGCAAGGACACGTCTGTTTGGTGCGATCTTCCTTTGATTCTCTGGGTGTATCGCCATCCCGTAAAAAGAAATGCATCAATCGCAGATGTTTTGAACCATACGTGAAATTAGTTTGTAATAATTGTTACAACGTTGTAACAATTATTACAAAGCACCGTTATATTATATAATATATAGTTATTTTGCAACAATGCTTCATATAATTTACGCTCGCGTGTGAAGGAGATATTTAGTCTACGGCTTATTTGGCACTTGATTTCACAGCTTGTACGAAAAGATTGGTCGTGACGTGGGGGAGGTGGAGTACGCCAAACCGAGGGTTTAGGGTTGGCACTCGATCCGCAGGCGCCCTCGTTTTATTTCTAGGACGTACCATTTCTGATCGTCACTTGGGAACACCAAGCAGCGCCAGCCGTATTGTCCTGTAAGAATGAATGAGAAGAAATGATAAAAGTGAATTATGAGCGAGCTGTTATTTGTGATTCAAAATCAATGAGAGGACCGAATAAAATCGGAGCCAGCCCAGTTGTAGATAAACTGAGTTAAAGTCAACTGATCGCTATAATTTCTCTGTACTATGATTAATTTGCACGTCCACGTTTTACTTGCACGTACGTGTGAATGGATGATATTAGATACGCAGATACATAATCGATATCCAATTCGCGGAATAAGTTGACGTAAAGACCACGTTTTGAGGCGCGCCCGAGAAGCGCTCATTATGATTTGCCGCTTATTAATATTAATGAACATTTAGAAACGTTACTTTACCTCGTTTGTGCCGCGGGTTCACCCACGGGTTCATTGACTCTCCGTGGAACTCGTGGGTTGATGGACAGAGTCTGCGACGACGAGAGACGATGGAGAACCTCTTCTCGCCTTTATCTCCAGCGAAAATAGATCACCTGCGTACAGTACACCCATGGTAAAGCACGATCGCACGTCACGTTCCCCATACAGCACAGAAATTTTCAACTAACGTTTCAGCAACATTGTAAACTTGTAAATTGCGATACAATATTACAGAGACATTGTAGGAGACCATGCAGTTTCAACGATTTGTAACGATCAGTTGCAAAAATATTGTAAAAACTATTACACAATATGTACACTGCGGTCTTGCAGTGAAATATTTTTGCAATGTTTCTGCAATCTTTTTGTGCTGTACGAGTCTTAGTTGCTTCGTTGTAATAGAAACGATTGTAGTCGTTTGAATGATTTTTCTGTGTGTGATGGTCGAATAAACCGTCGTTATACAGCAGTAACGTAACGAAAAGATATAATTAATAATATCGCTAACTATGGATACGTATTCTTTTCTCAATACAAAGCGATGCGGTTTTTCTTTCGAAATGGAATTAATGCCCGCTATTGATACTCGTACGAATATGTTCATGCCATGGCGATCAATTGCTATGAGACAGATGAAGAAAATAGGAGAAGTGAAGCATAATCATTACCATCACCAACTGGTATTAAGCGCGTAATGTTTAATGCCGTGTACTACGCCATATAGACGGAAATATGCTACAAAGCGCTACTATACGGTTTAAATAGCCAGGATTTTGAACGACTCGACGAATGTTCTTTACTCGCAATAAAATCGTTAAAAACCAAGAATGGATTTGATAATCTTGAGAGAGCAAATGTTTTCGCGACAATTTTGAAGATATCAATATCACAGGCAAACTAAAAACAAAAAGTAAAACTGTAGCGCCACAATGTTCCAGCAAGCAAAAGCAGTATCCGAGACAGCCAAGTTTGCCGAGAGCAGAATCTGCAAAACGTCTGCAGAAAAGACAGCAAAATTTGTAGCAAACCCCTCGAAGAATCTGTTGTCGACAGTTTTGCGCTATCCGGAGTACTATTTGGCCATCGTATTTGATAGTTGTATTTTCTTTTTCATGTTTAGGAGTCAAATATAACTGAGCTCGTCGATCGTCTGTCTCATACGTACGCTCAAAGACGTAAGGTAGACATGTAGTCGGTTAGCTTTCCTTCTCCTTGTTCCCCTCACCTCCTCATCTGCATTTTTTCTCCACGACCTCGGTCTTCTTCTGTTCGTCGCTATTTTCTGGAAGCCGTCGCTCCGGAGAACACACGCATTGTTCCGCGACCCTCTATCGCGAGGGAGGCCGCCAGCTTCTCAAAAACTACACGTCAACTTGGGCAGAGGCACCAGCTTTCAATTATAACGCGAGCACAACTTTCTTCGGCGTGAAAACGGGGAATTACAGTGAAAGTTTACTAAGACGATGTTATCGGATCTTTAGGCTACGCCCGTCTTAACTAGAGTTCGTTGTTAAGGATTCGACATAGCGACGGCGTGAGCTAAACGCAAATTTCCTGATACAGGACCAACGGATGGTCCCTTCGCCCGAAAGAGACGTCGCGGACGAATCTGACGTTTCCCATTCTTGCTGTTTTCGCAGACCGTATTTCGCGTTCGTTACCCCTAACTCGTCTTCGGCTAACCTTCTTTCCCGAGTCATTCTGGGTAAGATCAACAACGGCCGGTTCTTCGGACTCACAGCTTTTCAATTTGCCTTCCCTCTCCTTCTCTTCCAGGGATACAAGCTGTGGAACATACAATGATTCATTTACTCGCTGTTTACTTCGAATTAAAGGGGAAACGTTTGCTCTCTGTTACAGATGTATAGAATTAAGCTGTTCACACCGGCAAGCGAGTTCAATTAAAGAACTAACTCAATGCAATGTAAATTACGTACCGTGATATTGCGCTGAGCACCCAGGATGATCTGTTGGTCGGAGTTATCTTTATCTTGGCATCGAGGGCATTTCGCAATGTAATTCTCATACGTTTCTATGGTTTGAACAGCGCGCGTGCAATTTGCATCTTTAAATTGATCTTCCACATTCTGCGTATCTTCAGGAACTTGACGCTGATTTGGATTCATGTCCACTTCCAGTGTGACAGTTGTCTCGCCTCTACCGACGCTGTTATGCTCGTCGAAAGCACACTTTGCGGGCATGGTCCGCAGCTCGTTTTCCAACCAGTATGTTCTCTCTGTGAGTCTATAGTTTTCATCCAACAGCTCCTCCTCCCGCTGCTTCGACAGCTGTTTTTCTCGTTCCCGGCTCCTCTCGGCTTCCTCATGCACTTCGAGTCTCTCCTCGAGGTCACGAACGCGCTCCTGATAGGAGGTCATCTGGACTATCGAATCCACTGTCGACACGTCGAAACAGATCTTAGATGAATCGGTCGGATGGAAGACCGGTGTTGTGATCTTGACCGCTCGTTCCTGGATTCGAGCCCTTAATTCTTGGAGACGCTGCACTTCCTGCAGAAGTTCGCCGGACGGCGCTTCCGTTTGGGTACCGCAGCTAGCGAACTCGACGTCGCGCTCTTCATTTTCATACTCTTTCTCTTCATCTTCCTCGTCCTCCTCCTCGAATATACCACTCTCCTGGAGGGTGAGCGGGGGCTTACGCGGTAACACGGGTGATGTGGATTTCACGGAGTTCATTGTAGCATTATTTGTGTAGGGTATCACGGTTGCCACGGCGCGGCTACGCTGTTTGTTGATTGAATGATCCTGAAATATCATCGCATTGCGAAAAGTCAAGGGAAAATACGTGATTGTCGGCCAACAATGATCTCACGAGCGGCAAAGATTCCGTAAGTGACCGAATACTGTATTATTTTGTGTTAACTTGACAAAACTGAATTAAACAAGAAACTTGAAATGACTCAACGTTACATTCGAAAGAGAAGCTGACCTTATTCGTATGAGCAGGTTCCGGTGAGACGATGCCGCTGTCCACCGCATCGGGACTGTCCTTGCGCACGGGTATCTCTTCCATTTCGAGCAGCCGAAATTCCAGCAGCTCGTTTTGCTCTCGTATCTCCGAGAGCTCCACCAAAAGTGTAGCTTCTCGTTCCTCGGCAGCTCGAAGCTTTTCGTTCAGCTCACTCAACTCTTTGTCACGATCGGAGCATCTCTGCGAAGTACAAGTACGTCTTCTCTGTCAAAACTCTCACGAAATATTGAGAAGTAAAAAATTTCAATATCTGATTTTTTTAATTCCAGTTTATAGTCTATGATTATACGCTATAAATTTAAGCGAGAGGAAATTGTCGAGAAAAGTACGCGAAAAGACTCTACCTCTTGCAAGAGCGCCTTCTCCAGGTCGCAAATTTGAACCCTGGCATGCGACAGTTCGCGTTGCTCTTTAAGAAGCCTTGACTGTAACTCCTCGATCTCGACAAGAACGGCTTCATATGCCTCTCTGGTGACACCATTGCTCTGCCACTGACCGTAGCCTCCAGGCTGGGGCGACATCGAAGACGGGGCGCTCGACAGAGCGCTGTCATCATCTTCGTGATCCTCCTCGTCGTCCACTTCGGCTACCGGCTCCAATTCTAGCCACTGCTTATAGAATTCCTCCTTCCTTTTCTTGTTGGACAACTGCTCCAACTTCCTTTCCCTCTCCTCGGGTAACAGAAAAGTATTCGTTTTTGTTGCGTCCTTAATTTAAATTTCTAACAGAGTACTTATCATTAAGAGAATAAATATGAGTCGATTGTTGGACCAGCAAATTTAAATCACACAATCTTCATATTTTTTTTCAGATTAAGTAGGTATCTATGTTCTTATTATACACGTATTTTACACGGACTCGCAAACCTCAGATTGCGATACCCTTCTTCCAGAACAATGACGCGTAATAGTTTTGGTATTCGGCGGCCCTTCGAAATTTACAAGAAATGAAAAATTATAGTTTCCAAATTTTCCTAAGAAAATTCCATTACCTTAACTGCCTGTCTAAGTATTTCGATGACTTCCTGCTGCTCGAGCGCGAGTTCACGGAGGCGCTCGACCTCGATTTCATTTATGGCTCTGTCGGATTCTATTGCGCGCACATATGACCTCACCTTAAACAATACTCCACCTTAATGGCTTATGTCATGACACATTTTTATCGCGGTAAGAGATATCGTGGGAAATATTCGCGATAATAAGTAATCATTTACGAATGTTTAAAGTATACATACGTAATTAAAAATATTAATAAGCTTGCATAAAAACACAATAAGAGTAATTTCGCGAGCAATGTGCGTTTTTGGCAGAAACCATTACGTTAATAAAAAACAATTACTTGCGTCAAAGGTTCACCTACCATGTGACTGTCGTCTTTGAGACTCTTTTTGTCTATGCGAGATGCCGACTGTATCGGTCGGTTCCCCTCGTTCTCCCGTAACTTCCGCATCTGTAACATCGAAATAATTCATCCTTAATGGACGCTGCCCTCATAGCAGTTATTTCTGTGGACAGATTTTTTGGGGGTTTAATACGTTAAAGCGAAATATAACGAAAATTGTTGTTTTTTTTTTAGCAGCAAAGTTGAATGCTGAGATAAGAGGAAAAAAGTTTCATAATTAACTCCCACGTTTTGTCGATAGCAATTTTTGAGCAAATAACCGGGAGGTAAACAAAGCCATTGGATTCAAAGGGAGACGCGTAACGCTATTGCGGCTTTCTTCCAGAGCGGGGCATACGCCGTTCGTACGTAGCGTATCTATTCTTCGGAAGGAAGTAGCAGAAATCTATCACGATAGTCTCAGCGGATTCAGTCTTCCGGATGAACGTCACGGTCCGATGCGACATGTGTGCAACGAGCCGGGCAGCCGCGAAAGGAAGGCGGGGGATGGGGGAGAAAGAGAGAAAGAGGAGAGAAAAGCAGACGGGTTGCGTTGCAACCATTGGATTACGGAGAGTCTCGAGAGTCTGGGTGGACCGTTAGCTTGGCCCCCTGACATACAGCCGCGGCGGTCTCTCCCTTCCCGCCCCGCGCCACGCACAGTTTCCTTCTTCCTCCGGTGATTTCAACGTGCGGCATGTGCACACGAACGTAAGAGATGCGCCGAGAGAGCCGATTGCACCTTGCACACTTGCCGCACCACCGCCGCCGATGATGCACTTTGCGCCATATATGTAAATTGTTGGACACGCGCGCTCGTTTTGCACCGGCTCGTTTCTCCTCTCTTCGGGCCAGGGGGGATCGACTATATCGGATATAAGACATATTGGGACAGGTGAAACGAGCGCGTCACGCGTTACCGTTATCCGCGCTTCGCCGCACGTCTCGTCTTGTTATGTCCCGACGTTTTCTTATATTTATTCGACATCTGCCGTACAGTTATCGGGATGAACATTGAGAATAATTAGCGATTTCAATGACCGTGGAACTAATCTATTTCCCGAAGCCGCGGGAATTTCGCTAGCGTAGAGTTTACTTAGACATTCCCCGACCTCCACATAATAACTTAACACAATAACAGGGCAATAATTAAAACGTTCCAGTGAATGAGTAGTTAATGAATATTGATAAATTATTTGATCTCTTTCCTGGGTGAAAATATTGTATTACTTAGTTGCCTTGCAAATATTAAAATTGTAATTTTTAGAAGAAAATTACTTTAACTCTTTAAGGATGAAAATCGCAAAATCACATCGTGGTTCTCGAAAAATGGTTAATTACTAGTGAATAACTAATAACTGCCAAATAATTTTTTTTACACATTAATTGAGTCACCGAATAGAAAAATTATTAGTCATAAATTATATTTTCCGTGTAATCTCTTGGGGCATTCTTTTCTGTCATTACAAGAGTTGTGAAGGGATATATCCAGATTGTGTTTTATACTCTCTAAAAATTACTCAGTGCATTATCAATGAAGACAGTTGCAAGTATATCACTGAATTATTCGTGAATCAGTGAATATTCATTGTGTTCAGTGATAATCCACTGATTGACTTTTAGAGAGTAATATAATATAAAAGCAATGACGCGAGAAGCCACTAAAAAATATGATCTTTACTTCCATTTATTTGCCATTTTCCTTTTATATCCGCTTTACTCATACTTTAGCTAACCACTCGCTCCGCATCGATCTTTAATATGCAGAGAATGTTAAAAAAAAACATTCGCTGCAACTTGAGAGTGACATCTCTGTAACAGGAATCTATACGTGTCTGGCAACTCCATCGCACGATGTAATGAGAGTGGATCTATTTATAGATTCGTTCGCTCTGTGAACAGGTTGAATTTGAGACATCCTATGGGAATCTCGCGCGCGGCATCTTGACTCGATCCGTACCATCCCATACAGTACCTGATCTCACTTTCACCGATCGTCTCCCGCCCCCGCTTACGATCTCGTAATCCGTCTGCGTGTTTCTCGGATGGCTTGCGTATTTCTAATGCACTACCGTCTATTAAGGATCGACGAAACTTCCTTATTAACCCGCAATCGGTTCTTGCTCCTCGGCCGTTAGATCGATCGCGGTAAAGATTTACGGTTCGAGTTTACATCACCCGAGAACATGAAACAACTGTCCTCTTTATACGCAATTAGAACATGTAAATAAAACTAGGATATTTTATCAAGGTGCAAAATTAAGACACTCAACTTTTGCCATTTTTAGAAGCATAATTGATAAAACTGTTTTGTTATTAATTATACATTGCGTCTAACACATAATCTAATAAAAATTCGTGTGGCCCAAATGTGATAGACATAAATTTAAAGGAATCTCTAAAGACACCAACATTCTTTCGTGGCTCTTAGTTCTTTATTCCTTTAACATAATCTAATAGATTAACAAGAATAATCTTCAGGGTCGCCAGCAATAATTAACAACATTAAATTTGGTTGACCGTATCTGAGAATTTTAATGTTTAGGAATCGCTACGTTTCGACCATGGGTTTTGGTCCTTTTCAAGCGATCTGACTATACAAAGTATCATTTTTAGTTTGTGAATATAAAGACAATCTTTTCTACATCATCAAAATACACGCGAATCCATGTACATGACTTTCTCAGGTAATATTTCTAACAATTGTAATTTGTTTAACTGTTGACTCAATATCTCGGACTTGATTATATGTATACTCTATTTATGTAATAATTTGTAAATCTCTTACTTTGTATAGTCAGATCGCTTGAAAAGGACCAAAACCCACGGTCGAAACGAAGCGATTCCTAAACATAAAAATTGCCAGATACGGTCAACCAAATTTGATGTTGATAATCTAATAGTTTTTATGTAAATATGTTAAATAATCATAGAGCAATGTAGAGAGTATTGATAGCAGCATTGATTAACAACATTATTTGAATTTTGCAAATTGCATAATCGTTGCCTACGTATATATATTTGCCGAGGGGGAAACCGCTGACCAAAATCTTGTACACCAATGCCCACTAATGCCCAGTGGGCGTTACTTTATCTTATTCTCTTATTTGTCTTGTTTTATCTTTATAATGTCCCAGCAAGGCCTAATGCCCTAAAATGCCTAGTATTGCCCAGTAATGCCGCAAATTAATGCCCATTAATGCCCTCAGCGGTTTCCCCCTCGATATTTGCCCTTCTATAAAAATACGAAATATTAAGAATTCTTTAATGTCGCCAGCGATAATTAACAGCGACAGTGTTTTCTTGATGACCGGCATTTTTAATAATACAGAAAATTTATTGCGACAAATATTACCTCAACAATATTTTTCTGTATTATTAAAAATGCAAGACATGGTCAAGAAAACACTGACGTTGTTAAACGTACAATACACACACGAAATTATAACTTCTAACTAAAAAAGTATTACAGTACAATTCTATGTATACCATGAATAGACCCGTTAAACTACAATCTGCCTGAACGCATTTCCCGAAGTAGCATAGATCTTTCCCGACTCCGATGAAAAGTAAATTTTTCAATATGAAATAAAGGTCTGAGAAGTGTCAGTCAGTTTCGTCATACATGTTTTTCCAGTGCGCGAACGGCAACACGACGTTCGCTTACGATTCGTCATATTCGATTCTTACCAAGCCCTCGCACGCATGTCTGTCGCGCACGAAGCGCGACTTTCGCTCTCATTGTCAGCTCTACTCGCGCTCGGCCGACCCGCATGTAAAATCGAAATGTCCGCGTTATTGAAGGACGTGCCGTGGGTGCTGAACGCGTGCGACGTATAGCATCCCGTCTTTCCTATGCGTGCTCATTACTTCTTACGCTATGAAAGGAAGTCGCTAATTGCATTGCGGCGTACGCCCACCGGTTGCTCAGCTATTATTAATAACTGCGACGATTGGATTGGAATTATATAGCATTCCGCCGTGTAGACGTGAGACTACGTAAGCGCGCGTCTCTCCCACGCCGCGGCCGTTCCGCGTCCGCACAGATGCGGTGCCCAAGGCGCATCGTGTTTGCGGCTTGACCACGAACTTGGAGTTCGACCACCCCCTCAGGGTTTCTCAATGACGATTATCGCCGACGATCATCTCCTTTCGGGAGGAGCCAACGAGAAGAAACATCGAATCGAGGACCCGACTTATCCGCGGGGCGCGCGAGATGCCGCGAGATGAGCTCCGGGAGACCGCGGTCGCACGAAGCGCGCGCGCCTCGACCGCGCGAACGTAACTTCATCGCGGGTTCCTCGCGGAAAAGAGGATGGCGAAGATCATGCCCGGATCTCTCGATTATTCTCTCCCAGCGATCCGCCCGCGCGCGAATCTCTTTATAAAGTCAAGGATAATGGAGGCGAGGTTGAGCGAAGGTGTTGTTAAGTAGGTACATAGAGAAACCGCGACGGCGATCCTCGAGGTGATCCGGTCCGGTAACGTGACCGCGGGCTCGATCGCGCGCTAATGTATGTGCGCTCTCATGCACCGATGTATCACGACCCGTGGCTCGTATCTCTGCGGTTGCTGCGGGGCAAAAGGGGGCTCGGCGGGGGGGGGGGGGAGATTGGGAACTTTCTTCTGCGAAGTAGCTCACCGAGAGTGGCGGTATCGTTAGTCGTCGAGAAGGTACTTGCCTACCGGCGCCGCGCCGCGCGGTTCGCCAATCTCGCCCCGGCAGCGTTCTTCACCGATAGAAGGCTCAAGATAGAATCGAAGGGAGAACGTGCGCGCGGCCGTTCCACTTGCAATCGAGACGAGGAGCCGAGGAAGCGCATCCGGTGAAATAACAGCTCCGTTTGGAGCCGGCCGCGCGCGCACGGATCGCTCTGCCGCCTTTCTCTCTCTCGCCTTCCTTTACGCGTCGCGGAGTCATTGAAATTCATCCCGCGCGCCGCCTCAAAGGAGGACAATGGTAGATAGTTAAGTGCTTAAGGCATACTTACGTGTCCGCTCGTGCCTACACGCGCGCACAGGACACGCGGGGGGCATCCGCCTTGTAGGCGCGGACACGTTTCAACGGA